ATTCAGATAATGCTACTCTATGAGAAGCATCCAACTAATGCAGAGATATGAGTGCTGCGCATGTGCTGTAGAGCTTCATTATTTTTCTATGAGACGTAATGAATAGGCCTGAGATCATCATCACTGATCATCTTACAGAGGCAGAACAGCTGTTGCTGCAAGATTGGTACAGAGCTGGTGAAAAGGTGAAGTTTGGTCACTTTTTCATTTCCAAAGGGAAGGTCCTGAATGTAATTTTTCAAATTTGTAAAAGGCTCACTTTAACGTTATGAATAAAAATATGTTATTACAACATTAGTCTTCCTTTAACTATTTGTTATGTTTATATTTCAAACCATTTCTTATAATTGACATCCCTTCCGATAAGTAATATGTATCCTACTTTAAAGCTAATCACTGAATACATCTGCTTCCCAGTATATCCCACTAACTGATGTGGTTGTGCTATTAACCATAGAAGGGTGGCTGGACTGCGGAACACATAGAGCAGTGAGTACTTTGCAAATAGCCCTTCAAACTCCACACCTCTTAAACACTATTTATTTTTTTACTAAACTTAAACGTAACCCTTAATACCAGGTTTAATGCATCTTAAAAACTAGACACTCCATGTACCCCATATTGATTTTACCTCCACTCTAACCATAAACCCAATAATCCTATACCACAACTGTGAACCCTCTCAAGCTTTTAATCCTCTACGTAATCTAACTCTGAATTTAAACCCTGTCTAACCTGAAACCCAACTTTACCTCACCACTGCTAACATTATCTTTGATCCTGCATACCTTCACACAGTTGCTTACACTCACTAAACTCTCAGATTAAAATGTAATATATTACAAGCATGCTATATGCACATAGATAAATAGATATAGACATATGCAATTGTCAAGTGTGAAATATAAATATATATATATATATATATATATATATATATCTCAGAACCACTGCCTATTCATGCAGTTCCTTCCATATTGTGTGTGTTCCACTGTAATTTTCGTATACTGTGCCCCCTCCCCGTTTGGGAGAGCTCCCACGAAAGGAACTCGCTCGTCTCCCGAACGGGGACCACGCCCATATCCCATATAGAACGCAAGTTAGAACGTTCAAAAATAATGTTCTCACCTCGATCATCGGTGCAAGACTGCAAGGGAAACAATTAATGAAGGCTCCCCTGGGTGGCTGCTACAGTACAGATGAATGCCAGCCATGGGGAGCATTCGTGCATTGTTTCCTGACTCGTTTGTCTCCCGAATGAGGACCTACCCAGTGCCCCATTAGAATGTTCCCCCCAATTAATCAGAATGTTTGCACTTGCAACATAAGCGTGAAACTGCAACGTTTGCACTGGCAACATAGTGTGAAACTGCAAAGGAAGTAATTAATGAGTGCTTCTCTGGGTGGCCGCCCTTTCGTTTAGACTGACAGACCACCATCACTGAGCACCATGCCCACTGCTTATTCGTGTGTTTTCCCCTGTGTAATGTACGGTTCCCCCATGTATCTGTAATGTATTTTGTATATTGTGCCTGTTTCTCAGGCTCTCATGCCACCCCGGTAACTCAGTAAAATGTTCACACCAATCAATCAGAATGTTCGCACCTGCATCATAAGTGTGAAACCGCAAGGGATGATGAGAGGGAGCATTCATATCCTGAAAGGAGATGCTTCCCTTTCGGAATCTTCGCACCAGAACTCCACAAACAGGTCCCTGAGGTTGGTGGGGATACTGTTGGGGTACTGGTGGTTTGGATTGCCCTACCGGCTCCCAACGGAACTATAGTCACTGCCTTCCCCTCCCAGGAGCTACGAGGCCAGGCAGCCACTGGAGAGAGGCTCCAGCCCCAGCCCCCTGCTGGCCACCTGGAAGTCCATGCCGACCAGTCAGGAGAGGGAGCTCCCATTCAAACAGGGTTCACACCATCCTCCTGATGGGCCGGCACACGTGAGCGCTGATTGGTCGCTGCAGGGCATAAGCAACCAATCAGAGAAGGAGCGCCCATTCAAATAGGGTTTTGCGCCCTTTCTCTTGATTGGGCAGCGAAACCCCTCTCCTCCTTGAGCACTGATTGGCGCGAATTGGCTTTGTGCCTTTCCGCTGATTGGCTGTTGCTTGGTTTAGGAGCGAATTTTGAATCCAGTGGACTAAACCAAGCAATGCTGTGGAACTATTTTCGGGGAGGTACAGAGCACCAAGCCCAGACTTCATATGATGGTTTCTCGGGCTCTGTACATCCGATAGCCTACTATTTAAAGGGGTCCTAGATTTGAACCCTGTTGACTTGCTATGAAAACCCCTTGCACGGGGACATGCATAACAGCCGAGTGTGGCTCAATAAAATGTTGTTGTACCCCTGGAACTGTGTGTCATCCAGTCACTTGAGGGGGGGGAGGGGAATGGGTCTTGTTATACTCCAAGTGGTTCCTGAACAGCTGAAGGAAAGGAATAAGCGGAGGTTATCCGTGGTCCACTACAATATATATATTTATGTGGTAAGGGTAATATTGCCCTGGTGGTAGCATAATTCGTATACAACAGAAACATAGATAATAACACCAGTCGGTTGTTTTGTGCCAGAACCGACAATGCAGTAGTAAAATGCCTGTCGTAACTCATTAACTGGGTTTGGTATGTATAAGGTGAAAGCAGAGGATTTCCAGCATCCCATTGTTTTGATTATATGAGCTGTAATTTGGTTGAAGGATGCAGATGATGCTGCCCCTATGCAGAAAGAATGTCCTGCGCTAATGACTTGCGTTTAGGCCAAGTCTTGTCAATAGTATATGTTAGTGGTGGTAAGAGTGGAACTGTGTAGCTCTACTAGTGGTTGAAGTGGAAGTTTGTGAAAGGTGTTGAAATATATATGTCCAAAACTTTAACATGGCATCATTTATTAGAGGTAGGGAAAAGGGGTATTTCCATCGTGAGACCCGTTTGGCTGGTTTTGAAATGGTGAAGGGAAAGAATGTAATGGTCTATGGATTTGTGCATATTGTCCATTTTAAGGTAGTCTGTGGTTGTGACACTGCTGAAGGTAAATTCCCTTGGATGTAAGAATCCATGAAAAGCAAGCTCTATGGCTGTTTTAAGTACCATATTTGTTGTATATTCGAACGGAGCTTGTCTCTAACAGGTCGGATAACAACTGGAATATTTTATTGTGGATGGGTAGTGTTTCATGGGGTAGATGTGTGTCTGATTTTTGGATTCCCTTCAGCAGTGTTTTGATCTAGTATGATGAAATTAATCCTGTTTTGTTGGGGTGTTGTATTAACATGTGGTGTTGAATGTCCGTTAAATACAATTTGAAAGTGTTGAAAGATGACTTATTTAATGTGGCAAAAGGAAGTGAACCCTAACATGGTCTCCAAAGCAAAAGTGTCCTGTACGTGAAATTTCCACCAAGAACTTAGTGAAAATGTGAAAGGCCCTATTATAGGACTTCCTAGAGCAAACTAAAAGTGACTGGTGGGAAAGGTTATGTGCATGAGTCAATAGAACATCTTGTTCACATGAATGCAGGTGTTGTAGAATTATTAGGCCTCTATAAATCTGTAAGGCCCCTTTAAATCCTCTTGCTATACCTCTAAGAGGCCCCCATAGTTTTACAAGGAAGCTTTGTCTATAGAACATAGAATTTGCATGTCAGCAAGAAATAGCTTTGATAAAATGTGTATTTACTAAAATCCTTGAAACTTAACCTTGAGAAACTAACAAGTGCCAGCTACGCTCCAAATGGATAGCTGCCAAAAGGCCCCTCCCATCGAGTGAGCTCCTCATGTTAGCAAAATGGCGCTAAAACCTGTAGGAGTTAAGAAATGACGTAGATAGTGACCTAAGAATGGGGAGGGCATTTTACTAACATCTTAGCACCTAAGCCAATTAACAATGTCTATTTGTCTATATCTTGATTTTCTTCAATGATGTAATAATGCCTTTATAAGGGTCTGCGCACCCATTTTCTGTCAGAAGCCATTAAACTTCTCCGGAGTTCTTTCATTAACTTGAACTTTGTGTCTCAGTGTGAATTTACTTCTGCGTGCACGCAACTTTATTATCTTCAATTTGGACAGGAACAGATAGTCATTCAAACTAATTGGTTTGCAGTAAATTATCTACTACAATTGGCGCTTCCAACGTGGGGCTCTGGGCTATGTCCTGTCTGGGCAGCTGTCCAAGAAGATGCTGGGGGGGTGAATCCTGGGGGAAGGAAAAGAGCCTGATCACCTCTGAGTACACGGTAGAGATTGCTGCAGCACCTAGCCGGTATGTTCCTACCCCTGTGATTGACCTGTTCCAGTGTCTGTGACTGCTGCCGAGAGGACATCAAAGTCAGGTAATAACTTGCCCAGAGTCTTTGTATTGTTAATGATACCTAGTTTACCTGCATGTTGACTATCTGTTGCCTGGGTGTGTTTGTATTGGTATGTGTTTAACTTAGTACCCGGGGAGTGTAAGTGCCTGTTTAACTCCTTTTAGGTACCACATGCCTGTGGTAGTAAGGAAAAAGGGGGGTGGACCTGTGGAAGTTTTCCTGGGGGTCCTCTATTGCCTGTTTAACTCTTTTAGGAGCCACGTGGCTGTGGCTGTAAGGAAAAAGAATAGGGGGAATCTGTGGAGGATGATGTAGACTCATTGCTTCCTGGGGGTTCCCCAGAGTGTCATTTTGACCGCTTAGCTAGCCTCATCGGACACTTCTTCTTGGTAAAATTCCAGTCTCAAGCGCTGAGGCAGGTAAGATTCCAATTCTTTAGGCTATACAGGATTCGGGTTGGAAGCTGTTGCTGTTTCCTGTGGCTGCTGGTAGTGAGACTTGCGGGTGGGTCCGCAACAGGGACACTACGAGGTTGAGGGAGGTGGCTTTTGGCCACACGAGTAAAGGCAAGGGATAACACTGTTGAACTTATTTGAACTGTGATGCATGCACTGTATTTACACTGAAATGTTATTGTCTTAATTGTCTGTCACACAGATTCCTGTGTTTACTTCTATCTTACTCACTGTACTATTTACACTTTCCCCTCCTATTTCTCTTTCTCTGTTGAGAGAAGTGATTGGTCACACACTTCTCGCCACGCTCCAATCCGCGGCTACCACGGGTAGACGGAATCAGTGACTAGTCTACGTTTTGGGAAGACGTACTTAAAGAGCTTGCTCTTAAAGTAGCAGTCGAGCACGGTAGACGTTCTGTTCCTTTCTCTCTCTATGTCTGGGACGCCTTATATAGGGTGGATGGGACAGAAGTTAGATAAACCCAGTAAGGGTTGGTTAGCATGTGATCTAGTGGAAGACAGAGAAGGAGAAGAGATGGTTAAGAAAGTGAGTAAGATTGCTAAAGTATGTGGAATTACCGTACCTCTGTGCGGCAGATTGTAGCCAGAGAGCTGGCGTAAGTTACTGACAGAGAAGAAAGGGAAGCTGTCGGACCAAGATTTGGTTTGTACAGCAGAAGCCTGGTACCGAGTAGCAAGAGCTATTCAGCAAAAGGGATAGGTTGAGGAAGAAATTGATCACAAAGGTTTAAGATTGTTTGTGTATTATAATAATTGTGTTACTGGATGCTGATGGATCCCTATTCCCCCCCCCATCAGTCCTACAGATCTCGTCACCCTCATCCTCTCTCTGCAGCTCCCTGCACCTCCAGTCCGTTTCTCCCGTCAAAGATTTCTGGTTTCCAAACGTATAAGTCTCTGTCCTTCTGTCTTGTTACTTTACAGCACTCACATGGTTAATCTTCATGCCTGCAGTCTCTCCCTTTTTGCACTGTCTCACATTCTCCCCCCCTCACCCCCCTCCTCCCCGCCTACATTTCCGGGAGCTACTGATAAGAGTTAGGAACGGGATTTTTGCTGGAAAATATTCTAATTCAAAGGTTATGGTGTTATAGTTGTGTAATAATATTATTATTGTTGCCGTTTGTATATGTATGTATGTGTGTGTGTATATATATATATATATATATATATATATATATATATGTGTATGTATAGATTGAGTTTTGTGATAAAGTAGTGAGGATTGTGGGGGAGACACAAGAATGTAGATCAGTGTTGATTTACGGAGGTAAGTGAATCTGATACAAGAATAGTGGAATATTTGGACGTGTTAAGTGTATAGGCAAGCGTGATTTGTTGCAGAACTATGCAATGTGGATAGAGGGAATATGCGGAGTTAAGCTAGTATGTGAAGAGGAAAGTGATTAATGGTTTGAGGAAGATAAGGGAATTTGGTTGAATTCCGCGAGTTTATTTTGCATCATTTTATTATTTTAAAGTTATTTTAAAGAACATGTTTCTAGAAGACAGCTGTATGGGCTGTTAAATGCATAATGTTCTCAACTGTCTTATTTAAACTGCCAGGTCTGTTCATAGTTTAATATTTCATTTTGCAGAACAGAATGTTGCTTCTCTGACTTATTTTAATAGTTATAATATAGTGTATTGTTGAAAGTGCGTCAGCCACCACCCTACAGATGGCGCCTACTACAGAAGGAGGTTGACCCTGCCAGTCCCGTGACCTATCTACAGTCACGGTTGCTTCTAAAGTGACGTCACTTCCGCCCTTACCATGCCCACACCTCCTGTCTTCCTTTCCCACACCTATCATGGACGTCATCTCACTTCCTCCCTTGCTGTCATTTCCTTCCCCGCCCCTGTCATGGCTGCCTCCATCATGAGGCCTACCCCTATCATGCTCGTCCTATTTAGAGACATGTTGTTTTCCTTACACTCTACATATTATGAACTGAAACATTATAATTACTGAAACAATCATGCCATTTGTTTCCCTGTATCAGAAATTTGTCCGTGTTATAAAAAAAAAAAGAAGGTTGCTAAAATGTAATTTGCAACTGTGGTGTGACCTACAAATGAGATCTGTTGGACACGAATATAAGAGCATAACAGCTGATTATCCAGATTAATCTTGCAACAAGGGAAATAGTCAAATAATGCAAGTTATTTTAAACATTGAATCTTTGCTTAATCGAATCTTGCTAGTTACAGATCGTATGTTTACAGTAACATCCTATACGTTAAATGATGGTTTAGCATTAGAAGGGTTTGTGACATGTTTTATAAACCCAGCCACTACTGGTTATTCATTTTAGTTACAGGGTGGTATAATTGTTATAGTCTAATTAATATAAATGATAGTACCGCAATAGTTAATGTTTTATCCAAAGACATATAGGAACTTTACTTCACTTACTATTAACCATTATTTATAATGATAGACATGTTCAGACTGCAAAAAGCTATGGCTAATGACATAGAAAGGGGTTTGAGTCAGTAACACAGCCCATACAGAGGAGAGCAAACCCGCTGATGCTTAATGCCCCTGCCATGGCAGTGTCTACAGGGAACAAGGGGGGCCACTAGCCACTGTAACTTTACCTATTGAAGGTCACCCTACTGCTTTCCTGGTTTCCTGGTTAACACAGGTGCATCCCGCAGTGTTCCTAGAGAACAAGACCTGCCTGACTCATCGTTCCTGCCTGACACCGATGTCTCTTGTGTTGGTGCTGATGTCCTATCCCGCCTCCAAGCATCCATCACCCTCACTGCAGTCGGCCAGGTTCAATTAAATACACCTTTGTCACGAAAAGACACTACAGTTCTTTGTTCCCTTCCCATTTTACTGTGGAGATGATCTACCCACAACAGAACAATGCTCAATTAATCTTCTTTACTATCTAGCAGAACAAGGATGTGAAGCTTCACGTCTCAAGCTGCAATTCTGCCAACCTACTGTTATCTTCCTTGGCCATTGTCTGTCTCAGGGAACCAGACATCTCACTCGTGACCGAGTTAGAGCAGTACTGGACATTCCACCTCCAAGGACCTCAAAGACACTACACGCCTTCCTAGGCCTCATTTCCTATTGCCGAGCATGGATCCCTGAAGCCTCGCTCCTTATGCAACCTCTTTATGATGCTCTCAAGTCAGACCCATTTTGCTTGTCCACAGAAGCCCTTGACAACTTCTGTTCTCTCAAACGTGCTATTGCTTCTGCTCCTGCTCTTGGCCTACCAGACTATACCAAACCCTTTAAACTGTTTGTTTCCAAAAGACAAGGCCATGCAACAGGAGTACTCACTCAGGCCCATGGTCCTGGAGGCCGCCAAAGGCCTATTGGATTTTTCTCCTGCCAACTGGATATTGTGGCCAGAGGACGTCCCTCTTGCCTTCGGGCCATCTTTGCTGCCAGAGAGCTCATTGAAAGAACTGGGGATCTTGTCCTTGGCCACCCCCTGGTTGTCTTGGCCCCTCATGACATTTCTGCCATAGTCAACCAGGTCCAACTTAAGCATGTTACTCCTGCTAGGCATCTTCGCCTTCAATGTCATCTTTTGTTGCCTGACAACATTACCCTCCAAAGATGTCAAGTTCTCAATCCGTCCACTCTTCTGCCACTCCCTGAGGGGGGTGTATACTACGGATTCATCATGGACGAAACTTATGTTTTTCTTCTCACTGGCACCATCAAGAAGGAAATGCATCCCAACCTATCCTTTCATGATGGACAAGCACTCCTTCATGACGGAGCAAGACATGCCTTCTGTACCATGTGGTACAAACCAAACATCACTCCTGAACCCTGCTATGAAGATGAACTCTATAATCTGGTCGAAGTAAAACTCACTGCACAAGACTTCTACTGTGATTCTGAAGGCAACAGTATGGTCTTGATTCATCTACCTCCGGAACTCAAGCATTTGTACCGTCATTGGGACACTGCCATTCCACATGTCCCTGTGACCAAGTTGAAAACAATATCATGGAATGATCTTGGGCCTATGGCAAAAGCATGGGCCACTATGGACGAATCACAGCTACAGGAAAATGGTGTTGTCAAATATCCAACAACTGACCACCTAAAAGCATGGCCACGTCATTTCCTGGAAAATAAGTTCCAAGATTTAACCATAGTGAATGACTACGACCCAGATACACCTCATGACTGTTTTGAACAGATGAAAATGGAAACAACACATCTACCAACTGTACATGAAGACCCATTGGTAGATCCCGATCTCACCCTGTTTGTGGACGGCTCAAGATATGCTGATGAAGAAGGAAGATACCATACAGGATATGCCGTAACCACAACAGATGAAATTGTCAAATCATCATCTTTACCATCAACTATGTCTGCACAAGAAGCTGAATTGCAAGCCCTGACTTCAGCATGCAAGATCTCTGAAGGAAAGCGCGCCAATATCTACACGGATTCAAGATATGCACTGGGCGTGGCTCACGACTTCGGATTAATTTGGAAAACAAGAGGATTTCTTACCACCGCCGGTACACCAATCAAGCACGGTTCCGCAATCAAGGAGCTGATGGACGCCCTCCTACTCCCAGAAGAAGTGGCTATTTTGAAGATAAAAGCACATGGGAAGTTGGACTCAGATGAAGCAAGGGGCAACCATCTAGCTGATCAGGCTGCAAAACAAGCTGCAAAAGAACCACAGGAAGTGGAAAGAAGAGTGTCCGGAAATGAAGAAACTCCCATATTTACTCTGCAGACTCTTCCAACTGACCTAAAAATCCTGCGGGAACAACAGGCTACAGTTGCCCCTAAAGAAATACAGAAGTGGAAACAGAAAGGGGCAGTTCTGAAGGATGGAGTGTACTCCAACAACCTCAAGTTCTGCCTCCCTAAGAATTTGTACCCAGCAGTCGTACAATGGGCACACGGACCTGCACATTTATCAAAGGATCTAATGAATGCTCTTGTACAAAAATACTACCTCATTGTCCCCATATGAGATTCTATTTGGGACTGCACCTAGGCTAGGTTGCTATTTTCCCCAACAACTACAACTTCAAACTGATGTTTTAGTAGATTATGTAACTGAACTCGCAAATGCTTTGAACAAAATCCATGCCCAAGTTTTCTCTTCAATTCCAGATCCTGATTCTGACACAGGCAACCACAGTCTGCTAAAAATACAAAAAAAAGGGCTGCGCTTAGATAATAAATATATAAAAGTCCAGATGAAATAAATAAATAAATAAATAAATCAGAAAAGGTCTTATCTTGCAATGTCCGTAGTGTTTAGTCAGAGGTAATACTCTTGCTTTCTGTCTTGCTTTCTGTCTTTCTTGTGGATCGTCTCTTATGTAAGATATAAAAACAAATACAAAACCACAATGGTGCAGTATATCTATATGTGTAAGGAATAAAATATAAAGGCTTGATTGCGAACTCACATATCCAAGAGCTAGGACCTGCTCTGGTATAGAAGGCCTACAGCGGTTTAGATCCCCGCTTATGGGATATAGGATGGTTATCCTCCACGTGTTTCCTCCTTCCGTGGTTTAAAAGATGCTCAAAT